GTGGTCATCAACTTGATTCCCAGACAGATAGCCTCGTCGCTGTTGATCCACTTTGGTGCCTCCAGCGAAGCCATAGGTTTTTGGATCCGTTCACTGAACAACATGCGGCGCTTCTTACAAATTCGACAAGCCTGCGGCACTCCATCTCTTTCAACTACTGGAGCTCCCGAGGGCGACGCTCTTTCTGTTTGTGCCATGCTAGTAATAGCTGCCGCCTTCTTCCACAAGATGTCCTTTATTCAAGTCCAACCTTTCATGTACGCTGATAATTGGACTTTTATGTCCACCTCTCAAAGGGCCTTATTTCGTGCAACGGTGGCCACTTAAAATCTTACCACTGCGCTGCGTATGAAAGTTGACATCCCTAAATCGTGGGGGTGGGGGACAGATTTGTCCATGCGCACATTCTGGTCCCATATGAATGTTTTATTTCCATTGCTAACATTGAAATTGAAGTTAAGCAGTCTTCCAAGGATTGATGCATGATGCACACGTCGGGTCACTCGCTGTCTCAAGTCCCGCATGGCATCCGCTGCCACGTGTTTGTATCGTCTGAGTAAACTCCACCTGAAAAAGCCGCCAAAATTCAAACAGCTACTTGGCCTGTGGCTTTTTATGGTGCCGAGAGTCAAGTTATTGGGGACAGCCATTTTGTCAAATTGCGCCGCTTGGCATGTGATGCCCGTATTGGGAAACACAAATTTGCCTCCTCATGGATTGCCCTCCATTTCTCTCTGATCGTGTCTCTGATCCTTTATTCTTAGTGCGGTTTGCACCTTTCGACGCCTATTCATTCTACTATCATCCTGACTTAGCTCAAGTCTTCTCTCCTGACTTCCGCATCTGTAAAAGGCCCCTGTGGTGCACTGGCTGCATATCTCAATAAGGTTATGTGGATCCCCCTGCCTAGTGGTCGCATTGAGACCCCCAGCGGTCATCATGTTGACCTTCAAGTCCAGTCTACTCGTGAATGCCTGGCCCACTTTTGTGTGGTCCCAAGTTAGCCACCGCAAGGGTGTTATTGATGTTCCTTTCGATGCGTATACTCAGCACAAAGTCCTGAAACACTTATCCGCTACTACTTTTCGACTAATTGCACTCAATATAACAGGGGGTTTTCAGACCGGTGTTGTCAAGCACATCTGGGATAGTACACAAGAAATTGCTTGTCCTTTCTGCGGCCAGGAAGACATAAACGCTCATCGTTTGTTGCACCCATTTTCAGCACATTCGTGATAACCATCAAGAGGCAGTTGGTGTTTACAAGAACACCCTAATCTCCTCTGGTTTCCCCCCCGCAACAACACACTCTCAACAGATTGTGTATAACCGCTTACGACTCCTCCGCACAGGTCCTTTCATTGATCATCCACCGGTAGCAGATCTCGCGCATTTTCACCTGTATACAGATGGTTCCTGTGACCGCCCCAAAGATTTGAACTGCTGCCGCGCTGCTTGGGCGGTTGTACAACATGTCTCCGTCACGCCGGATGATCCCTCACTTAATGACTTCGTTGTCATTCAGGGAGCTCATGTGAAGGGTACGCAGTCCATCAACCGGGGGGAATTGGGAGCTGTTGAATGGGTGTCACGCCAGTGCCTGTAATGCGGGTGCTCAGATCGCCCATGGGGTTTGGTGTTTCTTTGCATCATTGAGGTGGCATCATCCGGACGCACCCACAACTCCTGGTGATTTTGGAATCACATGGATTGAGCTCGCAGTTTATTTTATCTTGTTCTCCGGTCAAGGTCTCCCACTTTGGATTCATGATCCGAAGGCGAAAATTCTCAAGCCTTATGCTTTCGATTCACCTGAGGCCTTGATTCAACCAAAATCTGCTCGGGGTCTGTGCCATCAGGCATCCACTTTGCGTGGTATTGTTCGCTATCTTGAGGGGACAATGCAATGCCGTATGTTCCCACGCTAGAAAAACAACTTGTGCGTCGTCTCTAGTCCGATTAGGCTTCCACCGCACGTTGGTTGGTGGTATGGCAGCTCGTCCTGAACTGCCGAATTCTGCGGCTGCCATTAAGCTTCTCGCTGAATACTCTGCCCTGCCTGAACAGTCATACCCGTTAAATGTTCGACTTCCTTCCCCTGTGTGCCATGAATATGCGTTTAGCTTTCCTAATCTCCCGAAGGAACCCATTTTTAGTGCTCGACATACCAGAAAGTTCGAAATTCATTCGCCTGAAGAAGTCGCTCGACGAATTGGCTCTTGATTGAACGCTTCGTAGCCGCTAATTCACATTTGCTCATGTTCTGTGTCTTATACCAGTTCATTGAGTCGTGGTTTGCACGTTCTTTTCACATTGGGTTGTGTGATATAGTCATGCCCTCTAGCACCCCGCTTAGTGGAAGGGTTTTGAGGGGCGGATCGTGGACCGCGAGATGTGTGTGGTCTTTGAATTATTTCGAGTTGTCTCAAGCACGAGATTTCCTCCCAACCCTCCCCCGGCACTGCACTGGTAATGGCCAGTTGCACCCCTTTTGGGCCGGCTGGGCTCCAGTTCGTGCCGATGTTGCCGGTGCTCGTTGTTTATCCTCGTTTCTCATACAGTATAGATGGACATTGTGATTTTATGTGGAGACCACAGCAAGGCTATCCCAACATGGATGGCTTTCCAAATCGCTCAGACGCACATCTGCATCCAGGTACTGGGCGCTACTGCCTTTGGTGGTCCACCCGTGCACATCAGCATGTTCCGGTCACGCTTCGTTGAGAAGCCACCCAACTCGCACATTGGGACCCGAATGTATTCCAGAACCGATCGAGAGACTTGACATGGCGAGAGACGTTCCATAGACTAGAAGCCAGTTCCAGAGATCGATGAGACATGTAAATCCATGAAACGCACGTTTGATGGCTCTCACCATGAGGTATGGATGGCTCTCCAGCGATAGATTTGCAGAGCTTTTTGCAATGGCCAATTGCCTCCCCGGACCTTCAAGCACTCAGGTGCGTTTGAATTTCGGATTGTGCGAGAGCTTCGGGACATTGATTTCACAAGAGATTAAGCAGCAGGTCAACACATTCCCATGTTTGGCTGTTCAGACTGGGACTCAGCAACCGAGGGCAGACGGAGCAGATAGGATCTCCGTCGATTGGCCAAATGTGTCCACATTGCACAGAGCATGCCGCAGGTTGCCTTTGCAATTGGTATGACCCAAGGCTGGGTGATGTAAGATTGTCCACTTCAATGCTGAAAGATGAGGTTCAAGAGATAAAGTACCACCCAACAAAAAGCAGCCTTGTTCCTCTTTCGTCCATGTAAGTAAGTTCTTCTTCATCTCTTCAGATGGCTTGCTCTACGGGCTTGTTGGCTGGTGGAGTCAATTCCTTCAGGTGGAGTCAAAGGCGGTTTGTTGGCTGGAGCCTGCTTCATTATCCCCGGAGCGACGCTTGGCGCCGTGTGGGGATGGACGAGAAGAAACCCCGTCCAAATGGGGACCAAGAGAGGTTAAGTGACCGTAAATAGGACCCTACTGGGGTACCTATGGGATGGTCTATAGGGTCCTTCAACCTCTGTTGGGAACTCTAGTAGTGGTTGTTTTGGTGTTGATCGGGCTCTAAGGATCACGCTGTCCTTGCTGGGCTTCGTGTTGGCCTTAGGGCAGCAAAAGAAGCGGAAGGCGATTTGCAGATCTGAAGAACATGGAGAATTGGCTCATGGCCTAGGGTGGAAAGTACTTTTCTTTTCCTTTTGCTGTGTGTCGGTCTTCCAACGATTGAAAGCCTGTTTTGCAAGGCATTCATTCAGTGTGTTGGCAGAGGTGTCATCATCATTGTCGAAGCAGATTGAGGAACCGGCTTCACCGGCCAATGCTGTTGCAACTTGCTCTGCAGAGAGTGGGAAGGCCTGTTCCGCCATTCGGGTTAACTTGGTTTTCCTATTGTGCTGTTTGAGGCTATTGCCTGCAGCGCTGTGGGCGTCGCGTTTTCTTGACTTGAGCCAGTCTGATTTTGAACCTTTTTGTGTTTCCCTGGGAACATGCACTTTGCAAGCTGCAGTTGATGCAGCTGCAAATCACAAGTTGATTTGGGTAGTCGGGTAGTCATGTCCATTGTACCAGTATATGCATGTGTATTCATATAAGTGCAAAAGTGTTTGGATGGAGAAACGTGTGTTTTTTGGTTTCAGCGAGTTTGAGCCCTTGACGAGGTTAGTTTTCATTGCAATCAGCGGGTTGATCAAGAAGCAGGTGTTTGAAGCGGGAAACGTGGTGACCCTTGGTGCAGATGCTCGCTACAAGAAGAACATCTCATTTTTTCTTCAAACTATGTGCCATTGAGACGTTGCAAAGATCTCAAGGCTTGCGCCTTTTTAATGGAGTTGTTGTGGGTGCGGGTCAAATCCAAACAAATCCCTACACCACATATAGTCTTACATAGTTCGTTTTGAAATGTGAGCCGATCTGGTTTTGATCCTCACCCCTGTCCTCGTTGCACTTGGTGAACACATATCTGAGATTTGCTTCTTCACTGGCGCAACATGCTTATTGGTGCATCCCGCGCCTGCATGGCTGAATCCAAGCCTTATTTTTTTTGGGAGGGCTCATCACCATCCTTTTTCCAGCAGCTCGGCCCATACCATTTTCAAGTGCAGTCTTGGCACAAGCATTCACTGACACCAGTCCAAGTTCTGCCCGGAACAAAATCAAAGAAGGGTGTTTCTTGTACTAGCCTGAAACTGTTGAAGCACCACACAGCTGAGGTTGCCCCAGACTCAGAGGTCAAGCATGCTAACGACACTGGCAAATCAGGTGCTTTGTCTTTATGTTTAGTCGACACTGTGAGGATATTGTCAAACTCGGAGGGCTTGAAACAGATAAGTCCTCACGTGCCAGGTATGCCAGTCTCTCTCGCCATTGGCATCTTTCTCCTGCGACTTGACATGGCAAGGGTTTTCAGTTTCCTGGGTCCCTGCTTCACTTCTCAAGGTATGTCATTGTGGCTGCTTTCACAATCTGGAGAGATACCTTCGACCACGGATGGATCATGCCATTCCTTACTGCAGGCTGCAGCAGGGTTGGGAAGGTTTGACCAGACATTCAAATAATATGGCATACATGGCATACATGGCTTCAGGAAGGAAGCATCCCTGAAAGCTACCCAACAGCCTCTATGGCCTTGTTTTTGTTTTGGCCCTCAAACGCTGACGGTGCTGACACCAAGTCAACGGGATGCCAATTTAGACGAAGTTCTGAGGGCCTGCGCCAGGTATGTTCGTGTGGGGTGGAGGGCCTGTGGTCCTCCCCATGTTGATGACCTTCTTGACGCCTCAGTGGATCTCCCCGACGATCTTCCTGGCGGGCATCTCCTTTGCCGAGATGATGCCAGGGCCCGTCTTCAATATCTCGTGTGGCTTGGAACTGCGACAACAACGCATGGAATATGCATGTATGTATATAATATATTACATACATAATATATATATACACAATATATATATATATATATTTATTTTTTTTAAGCAGCGGCATTTGGGGGGTATCTTTTTGCAGGCCAGTTGTTTTGCTTGCTTTGCGGCCGAAGCTGTCGATTTCTTTTTGAGATGGCAACCATGGGCTAAGTTCCAATGCAGGTTTGAGCTGAATTTGAATGGCCGCGAGGCTTCCTGGGCATTCAGCTTGCGATCAACAGTGGCTGGAACTGGCTTCCTGGTATTGCTGTTTGTTGGGCAGGCGGGCCAAGTTGCAAAATGTTGTCTCATTGTGCACGGTGGAGGACAGAGACCACCTAAATGAACAGGGCATCCTTTTCAATCATGTCGTTTTCTGCCTGTTTGAGTACTTCTAAGACAGGTTGGGTCTGGATCCAACTTACTGGATCCTTGCTGGGTTGCTTCAGAAGGTTCCTTTGATGGTGCTAAGACCTTTAGGGAGAAGGCAGAAGGGATGACGTTCACTAAAACAGTCGAGACTTTGGACTCAGGCCTCATGGGTCCGGGCATCACACTGATCTTTGGTGCCTATACACTTTGGGATGCACCTTGGCCAATATGCCTCTTGTGACCGAGTGTTGGGCCTCTTGAGATCGAGTGGTGGGCAGAGATTCCAAGAGGCATGTTTTTTGGGGCGATCCTTGGATCGTGGGTACTTAGCTTGATGAGCTTCTGGGAGTGATCTCATCCACTTCATTGGCCAGGAGCTCCGCAAGCAGCGCTTGTATCAACATGCCCTTCCAGGTAGGGTGCTGCTCTAAATGTGGCCAAGCCCAGCTTTGGTTGGCTTGTCAAAAAAGAATTATCGTCCGTATGTTGGTTGCTCTCGCGAGACGCCCAAAGCAACAGTGGGCAAACGCCCCTACCGAGGGCTGACCATGCGTTTCGGTCAACCAAAAGGGGTTGGATCAAAGCTTCTATAGATGGTCCCATTTTGCGGGTGTGGCTTTCATGGCGTTGCTTGTGCCTTGACCCAAGCCGAATGGATTGGGGAAATCTTGGAGACTTTTCAGCCGAAGCCAGGCCTCAACGCAGCAGCTGTGGGTCTTCTGGTACCAACCATGTTCGTGGTCTATGACACTCTTCAGGTCGATACCAGCTGACCGACGTGCAATGATAGAACTACGATGCGCCTTATTGAAGTCATTTTGCCATTGTAGTTGCATGACCTTGTATGCCAAAGCTTTCTACTGTACTCCCATCAGTAGATCCTGATAAGTAGCAAAGTGAGTCTTCCCCAAAAGGGGAGGCTCAAATAGACTGGACATGGTTGGAGGGTCTCCAGACTCACATGAAAGTGAATTCTCAAACCGAAGCTTCGACCGGTTGCGAAGTCCATGTTTCGATCGGTGAGGAGCGAAGTCCATGGCAAGCAGGCAGCAGAGCTTTGGTTGTCCTAGCGTACTACTTCATCGAACTTTGTAAGGTGCGCGTTTGCTGCGCGTTTGCTGCGCATTTGCGTTTCCAGTTGCCTGTAATTGTCAAATATTGAAGACCTTAAAACCTTTGAAGAATTTCTCCTGGCATATGAGTGACCGAGTGACGGGGTCGTGAAGGTGAATGTGCCTGCGGTGGTGGTGGCCTTTGGTGCGGCTGGACTATGCTGGGCCCTCGCTCAGTGAGGGGATTGGAGATCTCCATGGGACTCGCCAAATTTTTCATCTTTTGAACAAAAGGACTGTCATACAATGACTGCACGAATTCAACATCAAGAAGTCATCGATCAATAATGATTAACAATACAATTCTTTGGGAAACGGTTCTCTGAATGACAGTCCTAACATGTCCCAATAATGTCCGTGTTCTCTTGAGCTGTGCAGCCTGTACCCAAAGGTTACTCTGTACTGTGAGACTTAGCAGTGTCAACATCTTCAATGGTAGCAGGCCGAGGAACTCAAGACTCGATGTCAGCAAAATGGCGCGGCTCATTTTCGCGGGAGGGAGATGGAGCCTGAGGTGTTTTTGTCAGCCCAAGACCTTTCAAACGTGCTATTTAAGCCTGGGTCTTTCCCTTCTCCAGGCTAGAGAACTTCATCTCCTGCCTGTTGGACGCTGTCAAGGTGGGTCGTTTGTCGTTCAATGTCCTAAAGTGACCCAGTCTGCCAGTCTGCCGACAATGAGGGTCAGAACCAGAGTAGCATGGCATGAGAAGTTGGTGCCAAAGGCAGTTCACAGGCTCTCTGCGGTGGAGGGGTTTTGGTGCGTGAGACTTAACAATGCACAATTACTTTGCAGAATCGTAGATGTGTACTGGCTCGGGAATTTTCGGAAGGCCCAGCCGGACATGAGTGCAGCGAGGCAGGGGTGTCTGGATGGAACATTGCTTTGCATGTGTTGACCTTTGGAAGACACCACCAACCAAACAAGTTTCACCTGGCAACCCCTTTTCCTCTGGCTTGTTTTTAAGTCACGAAAGCTAGCGAAGCTAGCTGGAGTTACTCTTGCGATAGCAAGGTTTCTTTCGATCGGGTGCAAATCCTAACCCCTGATTTTTCAGGTCGAAGCCCCCCCCCCCCCCCCCCCCCTCACTCTCACTCTCACACTCTCACTGTCTCTCTCTCTCTCTCATCTCTCTCTCTCATCTCTCTCTCATCATCTCTCTCATCTCTCCCTCATCTCTTTCTCATCTCTCTCTCATCTCTCTCTCCTCTCTCTCTCTCTCTCCTCTCTGTCTCTCGTCTTTCCGTCTCTCTTCTCTCTCTTCTCTCGCAGGAGGATCCGGGCAAAGAGCCACATATAAAGGACTCTTCACTTGGGAGTGTAGCTCCATTGGTCGGTCGGAGCCGCATCACCTCCAACTTGAGATCCTTGAAGTGGAAGACGACGGACAGCAGATCTCACCTAAGACGACCGTTGGTCCGGGTTGAGGTGCACACGAGGTGGCTGAAACTGTCTTCCTCCCACCTTCCCTCCCTCCTCCCTCTTCGCAAGTTCGACTCCGTCCTGTCGTCGCTCTTTGGCATGCGGTTAGCGTTGCGTATCTTGCGGCCGCACTCGCTCACTCTCACTCTCACTCTCACTCTCACTCTCACTCTCACTCTCACTCTCATTCTCACTCTCACTCTCACTCTCACTCTCACTCTCACTCTCACTTCATCTCTCTCTCCTCTCTCTCTCTCTCTCCTCTCTGTCTCTCGTCTTTCCGTCTCTCTTCTCTCTCTTCTCTCGCAGGAGGATCCGGGCAAAGAGCCACATATAAAGGACTCTTCACCTGGAATCGTTTGCCCCGCCCAACTTGTGCAAGGCGTCCTGCCTTCTGCTACTCCGTGCGACTGCCTCCAAAAAGAGCGCCGTGTTTTTTCCTACCTCGCTGCCCTCCACTTTCCCATTCTGGAGCGCTAGCTTTCGCCCCCCCCCCTTGGCCTCAAGTTTCTCTTTGCTTCCCTTCTTGGACTCATACGAGATTGATGTGATAGGGGCCCAAGTGATCCTTGCATTTTTTCAGCCCTTCACTTGCAGCAGGCGAGGTCATGATTCTGTCTTTAATCAGTTGGAAAGACTCGACCGTGTCCGAGGTTAGCAGTGCTGGTAGCTCGACAGTGCTTGGAGGATCACATGTGAGTCGTTGACATTTGGTAATTTTTCAGAGATCATTTGCCGGAAGTAAAGTTCTGACTGACTCCTTCCAATCAAAGGCCGTCTGCTGTCAAACATGAGGTTCACGCGCACATGCGGGCGATGGCCGCTGGGCTGACGCCAAGTGAGCCTGGAGCCGCAACAGCTCAACATACCTCAACATCGTCATATTCAGTTGTGATGCAGTGGATGTTCGTCGATCCTTTTTTGGGGGTTGCAGACTGGTCCTCAAAAACTGGCAATCTACCCCATGGTAATTCTAGAATGGACAAGGCTTGGAAAATCACCTATTTCCCACTTCTTGACAGCGCAAACGGCAGCTGTGCTTGCTTCTTTCCACCCGAACTGGTGGAAACCCTGGCACATCGGAACCTGTCGCCGAACGCACGCGGCGCGCCATGTGATCAGCGCCGTGGACCAGGCCCAAGACCTTTGTAAGCGACAAGCTGGTCGTCTACGACGAAGGTCCATGGGTCGCGCGAATTCGGTCTGTGGAGGTCAGTCGGTTGGAGCCTTTTTGGGACGAAGGCGGTTGGAGGAGCCTTTTTCATTTGTGTTACGGTTTGCTGATTGACAGATTGTGATTCTGATTGATTGTTTGCCTCGAGGTGGTGAGAGGGGGCGTGGATATTTTGCCTCCAGGAGATGGTGCTACGGAGTTTGATGCTTTTTGTTTGAGGCCACCGAGAAGAGCTTGTCAAAAAGAAGTCCTTTTTTTGTGACGTCAGGAGCATCTCCCCCGGTGAGGTGCTCCTGAGAGAGGAGCATTTGTTGTTGTCGGCTGTGTAGACAAAAACTGGTGCAATGGCAATACCCCAAACATACACAAACAAACATGTAGTACATGCACACACTTAGATAAAGGTTCATTCGATATCATAATCCACAAGGAAATGAATGAGGGAACAGCAAGGCGAGGTGGTCAGCGCATTTGAACTGTTAAACGCTGTTTTGCATTAGCCTTATAAAAATCCTTCATTGGAAAGAGCCTGTTTTCTAAATTTAAGAAAACGTCAAAAACAAGCAAAACAAGATGGAACCCACGAACCCGAATGCAAACACGATCGAAAACATAATATGTCCAAATGACACTCTTGTAGGACACTCTTGTAGGACACTCTTGTCGGAAACTCTTGTGGGACACTCTTGTAGGACACTCTTGTGGGACACTCTTGTGGGACACTCTTGTGGGACACTCTTGTGGGACACTCTTGTGAGACACTCTTGTAGAACACTCTTGTGGGTCACTTGCAGGACACTCTTGTGGGACACTCTTACACGACACTCTTGTAGGACACTCTTGTGAGACACTCTTGTAGAACACTCTTGTGGGACACTCTTGTAGGACACTCTTGTAGGACACTCTTGTCGGAAACTCTTGTGGGACACTCTTGTAGGACACTCTTGTGGGACACTCTTGTAGCACACTCTTGTGGGACACTCTTGTAGGACACTCTTGTGGGACACTCTTATAGGACACTCTTGTGGGACACTCTTGTGGGACACTCTTGTAGGACACTCTTGTGGGACACTCTTGTAGGACACTCTTGTGGGACACTCTTGTGAGACACTCTTAACTCTTGTGAGACACTCTTGTGGGACACGGTTGCGGGACACTCTTGTGGGACACTCTTGTGAGACACTCTTACGGGACGCTCTTGTAGGACACTCTTGTGGGACACTCTTGTAGGACACTCTTGTGGGACACTCTTACGGGACACTCTTGTTGCACATTCTTGTAGGACACTCTTGTGGGTCACTCTTATGGGACACTCTTGTCGGACACTCTTGTGGGACACTCATACGGGACACTCTTGTGGGACACTCTTGTAGGACACTCTTGTGGGACATGCGGGACACTCTTGTGAGACACTCTTGTAGGACACTCTTGTGGGACACTCTTGTGAGACACTCTTGTGGGACACTCTTGTGGGACACTGTTGTAGGACACTCTTGTAGGAAACTCTTGTCGGACACTCTTGTAAGACACTCTTGTGGGGCACTCTTGTAGGACACTCTTGTGGGACACGCTTGTACGAAACTCTTGTGGGACACTCTTGTAGGAAACTCTTGTGGGACACTCTTGTGGGACACTCTTGTAGGAAACTCTTGTGGGACACTCTTGTGAGACACTATTGTGGGACACTCTTGTAGGACACTCTTGTGGGACACTCTTGTAGGACACTCTTGTGGGACACTCTTGTGAGACACTCTTGTGGGACACTCTTGTGGGACACTCTTGTGAGACACTCTTGTGGGACACTCTTGTGGGACACTCTTATAGGACACTCTTGTAGGAAACTCTTGTGGGACACTCTTGTAGGACACTCTTGTGGGACACTCTTGTAGGACACTCTTGTAGGACACTCTTGTAGGACACTCTTGGGACACTGTTATAGGACACTCTTGTGGAACACTCTTGTGGGACACTCTTGTAGGACACTCTTGTGGGACACTCTCGTAGGACACTCTTGTGAGACACTCTTGTAGGAAACTCTTGTGGGACACTCTTGTAGGACACTCTTGTGGGGCGCTCTTGTGTGTCACTCTTATGGGACACTC